TCTGTATGTCAGGATCTCTGTTGAATCTTTTCTCTACACAGTTTCTAACCTGAAGACGGTGGACCCCACCAAATTCCCTACAAGGTATTGCTACTGTTTAAACAATCAGACCAATGACTTATCAGGTGGGTACAGCTAACCATGAGGCTTGCAGCTTTTCCAATTTTGTTTGTGTCCTTTTAGATAAGTTTGTGTTTTTCCTCAATGTAAGACAGGAAAATATGGTGCTATCCACTACCCTTAACCATGTGTACATTCATTATCCCAGTAATATTTTTCTCTTGGTCTTACCCTAGAAAAACAGTTGTGTGTCTAAAAGGGACAGAGGGAAAATGTTCATGAAACATTGTTTTAATTGCAAAATTGAGAAACAACCTACATTTCCATCATGAGGGAAAATGGTTAAGTTGTCTCCCATAGAATTAAACTTTGGAAAACAGCCACAAATAATACATAACTGAGTAAGAGTGCCCAAATTTGGCCTGTGTATGGAAAAACTTCCAAGAGATTTTATTTTTTTTTGAGACAGAGTTTTGCTCTTGTTGCCCACGCTGGAGTGCGATGGTGCAATCTCAGCTCACCGCAACCTCTGGCTTCTGGGTTCAAGTGATTCTTCTGCCTCAGCCTCCCGAGTAGCTGGGATTACAGGCATGCACCACCATGCCCGGCTAATTTTGTGTTTTGGGTAGAGATGAGATTTCTCCATGTTAGTCAGGCTGGTCCCGAACTCCGAAACCCAGGTGATCCACCCTTCTTGGCTTTCCAAAGTGCTAGGATTACAGGTGTGAGGCACTGTACCCAGCCAAGATTTTTAATTAGAAAAAGAAAGTTACACAAAAATACAAAGAGCATGATGTTATCGATGAGAACACATATCTGGGCACCAGATAGGTGATTCCTTCTGGAAAGAAGATTGGAGTATGTGTTTCAGAGTGGAAGAATGCTGGTTAAGAGAGCCTTAGACTATCTGAACTTTTTTTTTTCCAAGAGGAGTATATTCATGTGGTTGTTTTATAATTAAAACTTTAAAGTATTACATGTTCCTATATTTAGAGAACACTGGAAAATAAAAGTGACAACTTTTCTCACCACTAATTCACCCATTCAGTAATTCATTTTGAGCACACATTATGAGCCAATCACAAAGGCTGCTGAGCAAAGTGAACACACCTCCTGCCCCAGTGGGATGTAGATTCCTAGGGAGGAGCAGAGAGTAAATAAATGCACTGCAAGTACATGGTATGTAGGCTGACAGCCTGACCATGGGGACCATGGAGCAGGGGAACGCTGGAGAGAAAAGTCATGGTGGGGGCTACTGCTGTGTGGAGAGTGGTCAGGAAAGTCTTTTCCAAATGAAGTGTGGGTTGAGGGGTGACCTTCAGGATGTGAGGTACCAGCCCTGTGATTATTCCTGGGGACAGTGTTCCAGACAAAGGCCTCAGTAGCAGCATGAGGAACAGAGAAGCCAGCATAGCTGGAGCAGGTTAACCAGGACAGAGTTGTAAGAAATGAGCTCTGATTGGTGAGGGCAAAATGGAGAGGGTGTTGCAATCACATAAAAGTTTAAGATCTCCTGTGAGGATTCTAATTTTCACCCAGGAATAAGAAGGAAGCCATTGTGACTGTCTGTACATAGAAGCGGCACGATCTAAGGATCCTTTGGGCTGCTTGTTAAAGTCTATATTGTGAGGGAAGCCAGCACTCAAGGCAACCAAAGCCTCTTGTAGTTTTCCCCACTTAGTCTAATATTAATATTTTCCACCATATAACACTCTTCATAAATGTTTGTGATGGCTATGTAACCAGTCAATGCAAGCATTCTCTTAGCCACTAGGCTGTTCTCAGACATTTGAGTGTATCTAGGCTTTTCTTAATATAAATAATATTGCATTGAACATCTTTGCACATAAACTCTTCCCTGTTTCAGATTATTTCCCCCACAAAGTAGAATTTCTAAAATAAATATTGTGAAAATATTATAGGAAATAATTACTAACATTTAATGAGTACATATCCAGACCTGACACTGAGTACTTTATGTCTATTATGTTATGTGATTTACCCCATGAATCTCATAAATAAATACATTTGTGAGGAAAAACAATCTTCATAATCACACCTTTCTCACCATTTCATTAACCCCCACTGAGCATAGAATTTTGTGCTGGATGAGTCCCTTATCCTGATTGTGTGAAAGATAAAAATAAGATTTAAAAAGTTACATCTGCCTGGAGAAAGTTTATAATTTTATTTCATGAGTCAAATCATATTTCCACACACTTGAAACAATTATATGAAAAGAATGATCCATGGATGATTATCTACTGACAAAACTGCATGCTGTTCTTCTGGTAGGTCACAGCAACTTTTGCAAGGCATGACAAGAAGTCACAGTGCTACCGTGACAGGCTGTACACTTAGGCCAACAACTTGCCATTGCTCAAAGCCTTTGGGGAAGATATCTTTGTGGATGATCTTTAGGTCTGGATCATTTTATTTATAATGGTTTCAACTCTGACCGATAGCCCTCCTTTGAGGGTGTATTTGCATATTTTCCTGTTTTTCTCCCTAACTGAAAATGACTTAAATTTTCTTGATTTTAAAAATAATGTACTGGATGTCAAAATGCTGTGGAACATGGACAGGTAAACCAAGAAGCCAGAAATCACTGATATCCCACCATCCACAGATAGTCACTATTAACATGCTGATGAATGTTATCCAAGGCTGTCTACACCACCTATACAACCCACTTATCTATCCCACCTGTCATCTAAGCTATTTATCTAACCTATCCACCTATGTGCCCAACTAATGTCTACCCATCTGTCTAGACATCCCACTCTACATATAGGAACCCATTGTCTGTATTATTTAGAATACAAGGTGAGCTACTATAACAAATGACTCCAAAATAGTCTAGTTTAAAGAGGTAGAAGTTCATTGCTTTCATGTGTGATAATCTGGGCATGTAGACATGCCAGGGCTGCTCTAATGGCTTTGATGGTTTTGGGGCCCAACCTCCTTCTATCTTGTTGCTCTGCTTTTCATAAAGATCTGTTCTCATAGCTTAAGGTAGGTTGCCAGCACATCCACACTCCAGCTACAATGAAGGGGAGAAAGGATTTTGAAGGTGCATTAGTCCATTCTCACATTGCTATAAAGAAAAATCTAAGGCTGGGTAATTTATGAAAAGAAGAGGTTTAATTGGCTTGTGGTTCTGCAGGCTGTACAGGAAGCATGACTGCTTCTGCTCAGCTTCTGGGAGGCCTCAGGAAACTTATGATCATGGCAGATGGGAAGGAGAAGCAGGCACATGTTACATGGCTAAAGCAGGAGGAAGGGAGAAAGAGGAGAAAGGTGCTACACACTTTTCAACAACCAGTTCTCACACTAACTCACTCACTATCATGAGAACAGCACCAAGGGCATGGTGCTAACCCATTCATAAGATGTTTGCCCCATGATCCAATCACCTCCCCCCCACCCCCCTCCAGTATTAGGGATTACAGATCCAAACCATCCCAGAAGGTATGCACATTCACTATGAACTCACAGCCTAAAAACATTCACATTTCTCCCTCTTACATCCTATTGCCCAGAATTTAGTCTCATGGCTACCCACACTTGCAAAGCAAGTTTGAAATTATAGTCATTGTGTTAAATCACCATGCTCCCAACTAAAATTTGATACTCTCTTGCTAAAGGAAGGTGGGAGAATCCATACTGAAAGATAATCATCAGTATCTTTCTTTTTTTTCATACAATTTTATAATCCACCCTCAAACTAATCCATAAGTATTTAAAAAAACCATTTCATCCTGGTGAATACTAGTATGCCTAATCTTTCGCATAAATTCTTAGTATTCATTGGGAAAGAATGTACTATGATTTATTTAATTTGTCTCCTCTTGTTGGAAACTTGGCTAATTCCTCATATTTTTGCAATTATAAACAATGCTCTGATGAACACCTGTGTAAAATCACTTAGAGAGCTTGCCCAATTACCTCTGTAGGATAAAGCCCTCAAAATAGAATTGTTGGCTGACAGGGAAACAATATTATAATGATTTGAATTGCTAGAATGTCTTCTAAAAGTCTTCCACACGTTTACAGTTTTACCAACAATGTTTGAATGCCTATGTTTTTCCACTCACATTTCCCAACACTGAGCCTTAAGAAACAGTCTTAAATCATTACCAAATGGATAGGTAAAAAAGATTTTTTAAATTCTACCTTCCATTTATATGTGAAGGTAGTCATGAATCATTCATTTTGAGCATTGCTAGTAAATTAGATAATTCAAACTTTCAAAGATGCAAAGAATATCTTTGAGTTAATAATAACTAGCTTTCTTCCAAGCCTAAAAAGCAGATTGTGAAAAACATTCTAAAAGGAGAATTGACAAAATGCATTGAGCAAGAGGTGGCATGAGTGCCGGTAACAATACTGGGAATAGTGGAAGCTTTGGCCCAAGGTGGACTTGAGCTGAAATCCAAGCTGTGCCACATACTCTGGAACTTTGAACAAGTTACACCCTCTCTCTGAGCCTTGAGCAAAATGTAAACTCCATCTTTTGTGTCTTGTTTCAAAGCCATGCTCATAGCATCTATGCAAGACTCATAACAGCTTCCAAGTTGCACTTTATTGGTCTGTTTATGAATCTTGATTTCCCACTAACTTCAGCTTCTTCTGTGTATCTTACACAACTCTCCAGTACCTGATAAGTAAGTGTATAGCACACTGCAAATGCTCGATGAATATTTATTAGATAAATGGATTAATAAAGGCTAATTTTTAGAAGTAGAAAGAAAATGTATGAAATAACTAAGAGATAATACCCTTCCTCAGCTTCCACAATTGACTAGGAACAGAGTGGACTAAAGAGATAGAGAAAAGAGGGTCCCCATGTTTGCCTACCTTCTGCATAGATAGGTGTCTGTGCCTGCAGAGGTGCACTACACACTGCATAGGTGCTCTTCCTCCAGGAGGCTAAAATGTGCCTGTGTGGATGCAGTGAGAGCACCTCATGGCTTTGGCTCTCACATAGTAGTGCCTATCTTCTGTTGGTCTTGGCATGCTACACATTCCATTCATTGTCACATTATACTTTCCTACCTCTCTTGGTTCTGTATTTTCAAGTTAGCTCGCTCCTGTCAAAATTCATGATCCCATTCATGAATGTAAAGAACATTCACACACAGCATAATGGGAAATCGTCCATTGGACCCAAGAAGCTTCCTCTCTAGAAAATGACTGGGGCTCCTCAAACACTTTGCCATGTTTAGAAGCCAAGAAGTTGTTGGATCGTGGAAAGCCATAAAGGAACAAAGAAGGAGGTGGCAGCTGTTTGACTAGAGGAATATTAGTAATTTTCACAGTGATTGGTATCCACCATGTCAGGAAATGACCCTGTTCAAACTCAGCTGAGAGAGAAGTTCACAATGATTCTATAACCTGAAATGTTGAAAAAATGTCTCAGATGCCCACCTCACCACCATCAGTCACCTTAACAAAGTGGGCAGAAGGAAAGATTCCTGGTGATGATTTTATAAAGTGTCTGGTCTCTGCTGTTCATAGTTTACAACCCACCACAACATTTGACATTACATTTTCACTTTCTAACCCCCAAGGCTGTAAATTTACATTGCATGTCTGGGGGCTGCTTCCTATCAGATGGAGTAACAGTGGGGAAATCTCCCCAGAAAAAACATTATTCAACAATGTGGCCTTTCATAGCTCTTAGATGTTAGCAGAGAAAGGTGGGGAGACAGGATGATAGAAGATGAAAGAGGATTTTAACAGTGGATCCAAAGTTTCCTACCTGCCTGAAATCAAGACTTTTCTTTTTTTAGAATTATTAGTATTTCTCTGTATCATTGTTGATATTCCTCAATACACTAAACTAAATCAAACTTGTAAAATCTACTCCAAAAAATCCAAGTATAATATATTTTTCCCCTTTTGTCTCTGAAGCAGAAATTTAAACCTCCTAAATTTGTCTTGCAGATTTTACAGCCCTCCTGGTAGACATCATTGGAAATTCTACCAGCTACCTCACAGAGATTTTTAAGTCAACCTCCATCCTCTCAGGTATGTTCATCTTGAAAATGCTTTGGCAACTGTGAGGTTCGGCGCCTATTTTGGTAGATACTCAGGCATAGTGTGTTCCTCACCCCATCCCCTGCTATAGCCTAAACTGCCAGGAGCCTTCATGTAATCTTTGTTTGGATAATCAGTGTGGTCCAGTTTCCACACCAGTAAATACACCAATATTTAAGTCCTCACACTTCTTGGATCCAGAAAATTGGAGGAAGAATCCAAGTCTCATAAGTTAAAGGAATCTAGGCAGACTCAAGAAAAGAGCTTCTGGTGGTAGCTATACTCCCATTTTAAGGAGGAAAAAACTGAGATCCAGAGAGATTGAATATTTTGCTCAAGTTTGGTCCCAGAATTCAGATTTAAATCTATATGGAGCCTAAGCCCACGTTTGAAGTACAGTTAAGAAAGATACACCTCATTTGGCCAGGCACAGTGTCTCACGCTTGTAATCCCAGCACTTTGGGAGGCCAAGGTGGGTGGATCATGTGAGGTCAGGAGTTCAAGACCAGTCGGCCAACAAGGTGAAACCCTGTCTCTACTAAAAAATACAAAAGTTAGCTGGGCATGGTGGTGGGCACCTGTAATCCCAGCTACTCAGGAAGCTGAGGCAGGAGAATCACTTGAACTCAGGAGGCAGAGGTTTCAGTGAGCCAAGATCATACCATTGCACTCCAGCCTGGGTGACAGAGCAAGACTCCATCAAAGAGACAGAGAGAGAGGGAAAGAAAGAAAGACAGACCTCATTTATAAGGTGGTTTCATGTAACCCCCAGGAAAATAGGGACCCACTTTAAAAAGCATGGATCTATTCCACGGTCTAACAATTGGTCTCAGCAGAAAGATGGTGTGATGCACTGTGAAGCAGTTACTGTTTTAAAAGCAGGAGGAAGGAAGAAAGAGAAATAGTAATAGCTATCACTAGGTGTCAGATAATCTTCCAGGGGCTTCCCATGTATTCTCTCAATGGATCCTCACTACAACCTTATGGGACAGCTACTATATTTATCCCTACTTGACAGGTGAGGAAACTGACACAGAGTGGTTAAGCAACTTGCTCAAAAATCACTCTGCAGAAGCAGAATTCTAAGCCAAGTGATCTGGCTCTTAGCCTGTGCTCTTATGTCACTATGCTAATATATATAATAATAGTAATACATTAATAATAATGATAATGATTAGCTGCCATGCTCTTCTTTTTTTATTATTATTATACTTTACATTCTAGGGTATATGTACAGATCGTGCAGGGTTGTTACATAGGTAAATACGTGCCATGCTACCATGCTCTTCTATCTGCTAGGCACTATATCTAGGGCATCGCTCCCATTCTCTCCTTGGATTTTCATGTAATTCTATGAGAGACATGCAACTACAAGTCCACAGTTCTTTAGGCAGCATCGTCAGGGAAAAGTATGTTTAGGGAACTCAGAAGTTTTCAGGCTTTTGAAGATCTAATAGGGTGTCCACGCCTTACCTGACGTAACCTCTCCAATAGCATCCAGAGGAGCCCAGTGTAATCAAACATATTAATAGTAATTTAGCAAAATGTTCAGCTTTTTATACCAAGTAGGATAAAGACTGTCATAGCTTCACATTTTTCAAGTCAAGTTTTGCCACCAAATGAGTTTTGGTACCAAACTCACACAAAACATGTTATCTTACAGAGATTTAAGGATTTAGAAATGGCAAATAAGGGATTGTGGGATTTGAATTGTCACCATTTTACAAAGGGGTAAACTGAGTCCTGGAGTGGTCAAGCAGTTCATTCATGTTTGCACAGCTAGTAAGTGGCAGAGCTGATGTTGTAACCATGGAAGCTGACCTCAGAGACTCTGCCCTTAGTCACTACACCATCCCTCAAACCCAGCCAAATTAAATAAAGAAACCAGGAAATCAGGACTGCATTAAGGGTAGAGTCAGCCTTATTTACCTATGTTATTCTAAGTTAGGTACCTTCAGCTTAATTTTTGTTTGAGCCAAAGACTTACCGCTTCAGACCCATTGCTAAGTCCTATTGTGTACTGGCTTGTCTTACAGTGAGTCAAAGTAATGAATCAGATTGCATCTTCATCTGCGTGATGACAGGAAAGTCAGGTAAACCACTAGCCATTTTTGACAAGCTCTCTGTGCTGAGAATTAGACACAACTGTCCAGCAGGTGAAACCCAAGATCTGATCCTGTTGGTCTGATTTTTGCAGGAAGGAATCTTTCTGACTTCTGGGAGATGGCGGAAAAATACCCTGTTATCAATTACACATTTGTCAGCGGCATGTCCGGTGTCCTGGGTGAGTACAAACCTCCCAGACTCCTCCTATAGACTCTCCAGACCAGGGTCCCACCTGGCACACTAAGAGCTGAAAGCTGCCCTAGGCATGATGTTTAGCTCTACCATGTGAAAAATCAGAGAACTTCACAGCTTAAAAAAAAAATGAATTTCTGGATTCTCCTGCAAAAGGTCTGGGAATCCTAGATCCTCCCCCAACACATGGCAACAAGCAACTGGAACTGAGTAGCTGCCACCCTCATTCCCTATTAGGAAGGGCACCTTTTTCCTCTTTTCCATAGTCCTCTCTGCCCCCTCTTGCCTTGCACATTTTTTTCCTCATATTAACTGCTTATTTTTTTTTTCTCTCTCCTATTAGCTACTTGGTTTTTGTAGATGATTGAATTTGTGACCTGTTCTGGAGACCTGGCCAACCTGTAATACCCAGTCCCTACCAAACCATGCCCCACCTTCATGCGCCTCTGTGCCAAATTGGCCATGCCGTTGTCTCTACATGAAACCCCTTCCCTGCTTTTCCATATTTCAGAACCCTATTTGCCTGTCAATTGCCAGCTTAGACAGTGCCTCCTCTTTTTTAAAGATCCCCCAAACAAAATCGGCCTTTGTCTTCTATGGAGCCACAATACAGCTCTCGTACGTCATTTGGACTCTACATTACTCCAGGCTGCAGCACAATTGACTTGTGTATTTTCTCGGTGAATGAAACTAGAAGGTAGAAGTTGTTTCCTTCAGCCTCACAGCCTGCCTTCCCCTCGGTGCCTTGCCCATAGTAGGCTTTTCTTCACTGTCTCTTGACGTGCAATGAAGGATACAAGAAATCTGCAGTTCCACTTCATGGGCTACTTTGCTTTATATTTATTGTAGGGCATCTTTTGGTTATGCTGTAGCAGGAAGCTCAATTTGTGTGGACAAGGCTGCTCGATAAGAAGATGAAGTGGGCAGTTGGCAGATTGCCTTTCCCTGCCCAGTTCTCAGGACAGATCTTAGGCTTGAGTCAATCTCATTTATTTGGAGAGGCTTTCCATCACATTTCTACCTGCTGGTCTCAATGAGATCTCCCGCTTTGTGTTCCTTCAACAAGAACAAACGCTTAGGAAGAGAGAACATACCTACAAGCTGATGCTGAAGTTGATGTGCCTGAAAGCCTGTACCCCGGCTGAGTGATAGTTTAGCTGGATGCACTTAGCTCCATGTTCAGTTTATCTGGGAGCAAGGCTCAGGCTGGTGATGCATGTAGGTGTTAGTGGGCCCAGAAGTAGGCAGAGAAAGAAAATGAGGCTGAAAGGCCACTCCTGCGATTGCATAGTGTGTGTTCTACATGCATTCAGGGGAGGTGGGGGTCAAAATCCAATACAGGCTCTGCCCACAAGGCTATAGGGCAGTCTTTGTCTTCCCTATGGGCTAATAGGAGCCTGTCATCCTCATATCCACTGCCTGCCCCCACTTGAGCCTTCCGTAGGGAAGACGGAAGGTAAAACGAATACTTGAGCCCTCTTCCTTCTTTTCTTCATGGAGCAACCAAGGACACTGGGTAGACTTCCCTCTGAATTAAGCCCTCCTGCTATCTCTGTGGGAGCCTATTTTTCAAGCTGTTTCTGTCTGGAAGCTTCTGATTCCCCAGAATTCCACTTTTGGCTTTTAGTTGCATCCATAAGGCACATAGAGGAGCCTAATTCCTTTTCCAGAAACATGTACCAGAGCCACAGAGTAGCTGAGGGCTGCAGGTGGGAGAAGGGCTCTGCAGGGTCAGGATCTGTTCACGAAACACAGCAAATACCTGATATTTCTAAGCCTGACAGCTATCATTCTGTACATTCATCACAGACTTTTTTTGCAAATTTATATTTTATCTTAATTTGACTTCAAGGAGAAATACTTCTTTCAGTTTTATTTGATGCTGTTTGGAGAAAGGTTTGAATCGCCATGTTCAGTATATTTGCTGTCCAATGACCTTTCAGTTTTTTAATGTCCAAAGTGTCAAGCATGCTAAAGTTGCCACTGACTGCCTCCCTGAAGGTGCAGCTACCAGGGGAACTAGTAGGACTTCAACGCCCACAACCAAAAGCCAGAAAACACTACCAAGTACAAGCCCCAGACCCTGGGCCCAGAGCACACCCTGGGCATCTGCTCTGAGAACCTCTTCCTGGATAGAGACAGCTGCTCCTTCAGAAGCAGAGGAGACTCTGAACACAGGCCAGCCTCCTGAGCTTCCTGCCAGGGCCACAGCCACATGGGCCAGTGCCTCCCGTGCTCTCCCAGCCTTAGGTAAGATGCTTTCTCACTCTTTCCTCCCCTTTGCTGTGTCTTGCTCCTGTTTTCTCTAGGCTCACATATATAAGCAAAATCCTTACCTTCATCCCTTCTCCACCAATTGAAGTTACGCTTCAGCTTACTTAAATAGCAGATCTGTGTGAGCCAGTATGGGCTCTGTAAGATCCAGCCAAGGCAGAAAATGCCATTGACATAATGTATTTCTAATATGTACTTTGATGACTTTTTATTATGAAATAGTTTAGGACTCACAAGGAGTTGCAAAAATAATGCAGACAGTTACAAAAATGTTACAGAGAGTTCCCTGGTATGCTTCATCCAGTATCCTTCAGTGCTAATGTCTTACATAATCACAGAACATTGTGGGCAAAAGTATTTATATTTCAGCAAAGCATTTAGCGATATCACTCCTGAAATTCACAGAAAATGGTGAAGTGAAGTTAATATTTTATGGCATGGTTAGATCAGCCTGTAGCTGGCTGGATAATGATGCCAAGAATGTGATAATGACTTGACACCCGTGGAAAATTTGTCACCAGTGGCCTGCAGGAGGCTCCTGCCTCCTCAGCCTCTTGTGTACATGATCAGCAGTGTCATCACCGAAGACACAAAAAGCATGCTTATCTTACTTTTCCTATTCGGAAATCATATAAAATGGTAACTGATTGATTAAGAGTCAATATTTTCTCAGTGGGTTCCAACAATGAACCCACTGAGACAATATTGTCATCAGAAATCATTCATTAAGTCATCAGAATTCATTTATTTATTTATTTATTTATTTAGGGAACATATTTCCTTCCAGACACTAGGCTACCTATTAAAAACATGGGTCTATAAATGTTCCCTCTCCTTCCTGAGCTCTCAGACCTAGAAGGGAGCTCAGGCAAGTAAACCAATAGTTATGATCCAGTGTACAAAGTACTATTGTACACAGAAAGCACAGAGAGGGCTCCTACCTTAGCATAGAGGAGACACAGGCTTCCCCAAGAGATAGGAATTGACAGGTGTCAGCAGGCAAGGAAACAAGGATGACTGGATGGTGGAGAGGAAAAGAAATCAACTCCATTTAATAGAAAAACAGACTTACTGCAAAAAATTAGCACAATAGCTGGCATCAGGACAATTATACAAAATCAGAAACTTTCCAGGGTCATATGACAAAAAGATGTTATTTCTAGTGGCAAGAAAAAAAAATCATAAAATGCCTGCCTATAATCCTACACATAAAAGTGCTGGTTTTAAACAAAGAAAATTGTAAAATTTTAATGAGAGTAATTCAGGAATATTTAAATAAATGAAGAAATACACCATGTTCGGGTGGAGAAATCTGAGTATTTTAAAGAAAGCAACTGTCCCCAACTTAAGTTATAAATGTAAAATTATTCAATAGAATTTGTTTTTGTAAAACTTGAAAAAACTGACTTTAATTTCTGCTATGGGAATAAACAGGTAAGAACATCCAACAATTTTTTTTAAAAGACCAATGAGGGAAGATATTTTTATTTTTTTGAGAGGGAGTCTTGCTCTGTTGCCCAGGCTGGAGTGCAGTGGCTCAATCTCGGCTCACTGCAGCCTCCACTATCCAGGTTCAAGCAATTCTCCTGCCTCAGCCTTTCCAAGTAGCTGGGATTACAAGCACCCACCACCATGCCTGGTTATTTTTTTGTATTTTAGTACAGATGGGGCTTCACCATGTTTGCCAGGTTGGTCTCGAACTCCTGACCTCAAGTGCTTTAGCCTCCCAAAGTGCTGGGATTCCAGGCATGACCAAGGATTTGTCTTTACTAATAACAACCCTGTTATGTTGGAGGGCAGGTGTTATTACTAATACTAGCATCCTCCTTTTCATGAGGAAGTGAAAAAGAGTTAAGTAATTTGCCCCAAAGTTCATGGAGGAGACAGAGGCACAACTAATCTGTTTGAATTGCCTCAGCTCAGACCCCACAAGCTTTCCACTACGTCATATGATTAGCAATGTATTGCATAAATTTGAGAGACAGCCAGCTGACCCCCAAACACAATGCCTGGAGGGCCTAGAGATTTGGAGGGGTGTGAGTGTGTGTGTATGTGTGTGGGGGTGGGACAGTGGGTATGTGTGTGTTTATTGGTGCTTAGGAAAACAGACATGAATTTGGTCCCTTTATTTCAGTTCAGTGTAAAGTTTAAGCCCCTGGATTATCTGTGTTACACATGCACGTCGTGTTTGCCTTTTGATAACATTTCAATGTCTCAGCAATTTTATATTTGAATCAAAGTGGTCAAGCATGTCAACTCCCTATTACTATCACTTTGAATGTGCAGCTACCAGGAGGGTGGCCAGAACTCAGTGGGTGACAGCTGACAGACAGACATGGGCTTCCATATCGTCCATGCCCTGGACTCAGACCAGCGGTGAGAAAAATCCTGGAGGGTATCCCTCAGAAACTCGTTCTTCCCCATCGACTGCTGCAGGGGCCAAGGAAGCCATGAACACTATGAGCCTTTTGGTGCTTCCTGCTGGGATAATGGCCACACCTGGCAGCCCATCCCAGTCCAGCTCTACCTGGGGTAAGAGAAGATACTCATTTCTACATCTTCTGTTTTAAATTCAGCTTAGTGTTGTCTGTTTTGAAAACTTTTCTAAATTTTTGAAATATAACACACATACAGAAAACTAAGAAAACATAAGCAGCATAATTAATGATCATGAAGCAAACTCTTCCCTCTTCTTTCCTCTGCACTACCTCTTTCTTCCCATCTGTAGATGAATGAAAGCTCCTGCTTAACAGACCCCTAGTTTCTCTCTTTTATGTAATCCCACTCCCCAATTTCTCCTCCTTTTCCCTGTTTCATTGTCCATTAAACAAGTGACCCTTAGAAATAAACATTGTCCACTCAAGCCAGTTCAACTACCTTTTTACCTGGTATTAATACACATTTATATCGTCACATTAATTACATATACATTACATGCATGTAATGTAACATAACACCTGCCTTAGTTGCATATACAAATAGTACACCTACATTAAAATAGGCTCAAAAATCTCAATTGCAGGCTCAAATTCTCAATTGCAGGCTCAAATTCTCAATTGCACAAACCGTTCTGTGAATGCTATTTTGATAGCTTCAATTACATAAACAGCTGATGCAATTGCATGAGTGTCAGAGGGTTAGGCATTATGTTTAGAAAAAAAATAAAGTGTGTTTCAGCTTAGCCTGCTGGACTGCAACAACCAGCACAGCTCTGGGACTACGAGCGCTGGTTTCTATACATTACAGCTGTGTTGCAACCTTGCCCTACCACTTGGTGACCTTAGGCAATTATCTTCAACTGAGTCCTGGAACTTTCGGAATTGTTGGGATGATTAAAATAGGTGGTGTCAGTTCAGTGCATAGCAGCAGCTCAATAAATGGCAAATCTTACTAACCTGTCCCATCCTACCCACAGCAGGTCATTGCCACCAGCCTTGGGAGACACACTTTGGAAAGAGTAGTGGCCAACAGGATGCCTTTCAGAGGAGAACATGCATTTGCTCTTGACCTCAGTCCCTTTCAGGACTAATTCTCTGAGATTCTGTAGAGAAGCAAACTCTGTATTTGGGTGTGGCTAAAGCCGCTCAGCTTCTAGAACTGCATAGAAATATACCAGGGTAGCAAGCATCAATAGGTGTCTTCTGTCTTGGGGACTTACAGTCCAATGCCTGAAAGGAAGTCAAAAGACTATCCTGCCCCATCCTAAGAAAATAACAGGATTACCTCATGGAGTTCTGTCGCCTTCCTGTCGTCACCTGTGTGCAAATGTGTCACACTGTCCACCTCTGGTGCTAACACAGCACTGGGAGTGGGAGTGTGTTGAATTGGACACTGTAACACTCACGGTCCTAGCAGAGGCACCTAATAAGTAACAAGCAGTATGACAACTGGGATGGATGGACCCAGGTGCTGTGCCCTGCCTGCTGCTCAGCCTCACCTCACGCCTCTGCCTTCCTCCTGCAGACTGCAGACACAGCACACTGCTTACTGCTCACGCCTCCAGGTCTTCATATATGCACTTTGCTGTGCCTACAAAGCCCACTTTCCTCCAGAACTGCTGTGCTGCTTGACTCAGAGTAGATGTCACCTGCCCCAGCTGAACTGGGTATCTATCACCTGTGTCCCGGCTGTTTCTCAGCCTCACCTCTTTCCTTCCACTATGAGGGAACTTGCCTGCTCAAGCTTCTATCTCTCTCATATCCCACAAGAAGACTGTACTGCTGGTTTTGCCATAGGCCAGAATCTTAACAGCAAGGATCAAGTCCTGCAGTGACCCTTAAACTAAGGCTTCATGAACCTGATATAAAAATTCTTGAACTGAGCCCATACTTGCTCATGAAAATGACAGGCAATTTATTGGGGGTGGGATGGAGCAAGATGTACACTAAGGCTCAGAGGAATGAAAAGCAACTCATTTTTTCTTTGCCCAGGAGCACCCACATCGGACACTTCCTGCACAGCACCATTGCTCTTCCATGCCATGCAGGGTCACCATACCTTGCCAATGTTATCTGGTTTTCAATGGCACCCATCACACTGTATCACAGCCATGACGGGATTTTCCCATTTCCTCTTCCACACTGGGAGCACCTCCATTGTGGGTTCTGTTTCTTCCTCATCTCTGCTTACTAAAGCCCTGCCTGGTACCTGGCTTAACCAACATTCGTTGCATAGGGCAGGATTGGTGGCCCTGGTCCCCTTCTCCCTCAGGGACCCCTAGAAGAGATGCAGGCTCACCTCTCTCTCCTCTCATCCCAGGAGCATTCACCCATGGCACACAGACTGCGAGTCCAACCAAGGCAACAGCCCCCAAAGATCCACAGACAGGTAAGAACACACCATGGGAAAGAGAAACTCAGTCCAGGAGTGGAGGTCCGGGCGCAGGGGATGGGAGGGGCGGGAAGCTTGGGGACAAGGGCACGGTGGGACGGGGTACCAGTAAGCAATCTAAGCAAGTTATTCTGCTTTATTGTTTCCAGCAGAAAAAGAGTCAGAAGACCTGGTTTATAAGCGTTGCCTTGCTGCTAAATTGCCATGTGGTCTTTCATAAATCACTCCCCTTTATTTTGGCTATCAGTTCCCTGTAGCTTTCAAGAATGCTGTATCTTTAAGATGTTATGAGTTTCTCGCTGTGAGTATCACCCAAGGTAATTCCATTTTGACTTCGGTAAGGCCATTCTTATCCTTTGCAGGGGATCTCCCTGCAGAGTGGCCATTCACTCCCGGAGAAGAGCCAGTCCTGGTCCCAAGGCCCCATCAAGTTTCAAGTAAGTACCAGTGCCCAGTCACTGCTATTGCTTGTGGTTATTTTGAACAAGGTCATGTAGTAGAATAAAGGAGACTTGTTTGGTAAATTTAGAGTCAAACTGCTGGGATTTAAATCTTAGCTCAGCCGTTTACTGGTGAGGTTGCCTCTGGTGCTCAACTTCCAGGATTGAGCTTCCTCAACTGTAAAGCAAGAATAATTGCAATTTTTGTGGGCACTAAAAATGCCTGTTTTTTTTTTTCTTTCTGACAGAGTTTTGCATTAAGTAAGATAATGTGTGTGGAAGTGGTTTGGAAGAATAGCGCTCTGTAGAACTTAATTCAATCAACTTTTATCGGGTGAATGTCTATTGAGCAGCATGCTGGGCACTTTGCAAACACAAGCTGCTCTTACAATGAGCAGCGTTGTTAGCAGTGAAGGAGGAAGGAATGAAAAAGGTGACTCCAGAATGCAAACTTGCCTGCTTGGTGTGATGCCCTGTTGTTCTGTTAAGGGATACCCTCGCCTTTCCACCCTGCACAGTTAATTCTTATGGATCTAGAAAAAGACCATTTCCTGGGTCTGTAGCTCTGTTTTCAGAAGTCCTGACAGAGGCTGAGGACTTGAGCTGCTGCGGTTTTTGCTGCATTTTTCCAGCTTTTGGACATCTCGCTCTCCTCTTTTCTGTTGAGCCAGTTTCCATAAGAAAGAAATGGACACCATGTGAGGGCTTCAAAGCTGCCTGAGTCCTCAGGCTCCTCCTGCTCCTGAATACCTTTGTATACCAGGTCCTGGACCATCCAGGCATATGTCAACAGGGCATCATTAAACTGCTGGAGCCTGCCCCGTCTCCTTTTTCATGTCACCTCAGATCTGCCCCAGCCTTACTCTCAGCCTGCTGTGAAAGATGAATGAACCTTTCAGACACAAAGATGTGATTATGCTACTAAGGAAATTATATCCCTTTTCTCCCAGGAGTTCTAAAGAAACAGGTTGGTGCAGATGGAGGCAGCTGCGAGATTGAGTTTTAGAAAACAGGTTGACTATATCTACATCTATGTCTATATTGGTGTCATCTGTATCCATAGCATCTGTATTCATGTATCTATACCTATCTGTATAGCCGTATCTATCATCTATCTGTCTATCTTGTTAGCTCCATCTACTTTTTTATCTAATAGGTATTTACCATGTCTATCTATCTATTAATCTACCCACTCATCTGTCATCTATCTAATAGATATTCATCCAAACTATCTATCCATCCAACCTTTAATCAACCCACCTATCCATCATCTACCTAGTTATCTTTCTATCTAACTATCTTTATCTCTTAACCTCCATTTCATAGACATTCACCTATGCATCTACCATCCATCTATCTACCTATGTAATGAAAAATATAATTGTAAGTTAAAGGAGTTCTGGCATTTCTCAGTAACTTATTCTGCTCATCCAGAAAAAAAAAATCATGCCACAAAGTATTTGGCGTTCACTCGTTCATCTATTTAATAAATATTTATTGAGCTCCTACTGTACTTCCAGGCACTAACTATGCTAGAACTATTTTTACTTTATCTTCACAATAATTCTGCAAGAGAGGTAATATCTCATTAAGGAATCATGGTAAATTCTACATGTAAAAGGAGACTGCATTTTGACCCCAGGTCTAATTTCAAACCTTGTGTTCATTCCATACCTCCGTGTCACCTTTCCCAAGATTTGCCATATGTAAAAAACAAAAACTACAATTGAAAGAAAAAAAGTGGCTAGATTCTTGAGAGATGCAGTAACTGCTATGTGTATCCAAAGAGGAAGAAATTACCTTCATGTGAGGGGATTGTTCAAGAGTTTACCAATTGAGTATGTGGCATCTGAACAAGGTGCATTCTAAGCAAAGGCAAAGCTTAAGCAAAAAGGCTCTATACCTGAGAAGGACTGATGTTGCCCAGGGACTGAGAAGGGTCTGTGGGGCTAGAACTCTGGTGCTGAAGGTGAGGGTAGTGTGGAATGAGGCTAGAGAGGCAGCCAAGAGTGAGATTAACAGGACTTTGTCACCACGTCAAGGAGTGTGGACTTCGGAGGCAAGTGAGAGTAATATGATCAGATTTGTGTTACAGAAAGTTTTCTCTGACTACAGAATGGGGAGGAGTGGGAGAGGCTGGGAGCAGGAAAACTTGCAAGGTGATGGTGACTGGAAAGCAGAGGTGACTGTGTGGTTAAGAGAGACTTGGATGACATTGAGGAGATAGAACCAAGAGGATGCAGTGATGGCGGAGTGAGCACAGGTGGGAACCAAAAATCATGTGTCTCCCAAGTGTCATTTCCTGAGTTGGAGAAGCTTGGATGGGATGGGGTGGGGAAATGGACATGGAAATCAAGCCTTTGGAATGTTAATTATGTTAAGTAGTGAAGTGTGATGGTTATGAGAACAGGCTCCAGAGTCAGATCTGGCTGGAGTCACCCCCTGTTGCATGACTGATCCAACTGCAGAATCACTCTGACCCTCTGTATTCTCTTCTGTATATTTCTGATGTCTGCTTCACAAGATTTATGAGAATTAGAATAAATAATATATGCAAAGATCTTAGGAGAGCGCCTGATACATAGTAGGTGCGTAATAACTGATAGAGAAAAAATCGTTACACACCGATGGAAATTGGTCAATGTTCTGGAGGATTTAATGTTCTAGTTAACTCAGAATAAAATATTTTCTTTCTACCTTTTTAAAAAGTCTTCTGCTAACATTGTGAGCCCCATCTCCACTTCAATAAATACATTACTGGTCAGGTGTGGTGTCTTACACATGTAATTCCAGCACTTTGGGAGGCTTAGGTGGGAGGATCACTTGAGCCTAGGTGTTTGAGATCAGCCTGGGCCACAGAGCAAGACCCCATCTCTACAAAAAGTAAAAAATGAAAATAAGTAATTACTGCTAGATTATAATTTTGAAAATGTTCAAACATGACAGAAAAAATATTAAGTGAATACATGTCAACATGTCAAAGACATTATTGAACTCATTAAGTAATGAGGAAACCAGAAAGATGTAAAGATGGTTCAATGTAGAATTTAAGGGAAAAAGATTTATGTAATCAGTCAAAGAAATTCTCAAGTGAACTGATATCCCACAGCAATAAACTTTTTTTTTTTTAACTGGACAAAAATCAATTGCACCTCTACCAGATAAAATTCATTTACATGGCTACAGACAGAAATCATTTGCATAGCTCTTAGACAAGAATTATTTATATTACTATCTGTTGACATCTACCCTTTGATAGCTGTAAAATCACCCATCCAATAGAAAGTCAATTCGTGGTGCACAATCCTTTTTTCCCAGACTGTCCCCAGACAGTCTGCTAGACAGTAACCAAAACTGCATTAAAAGGATACTCAGTAATCCTTTTTGCTTATTCCAGGTTTTAGATAATTTTTCCTGATAGTGATTAGTGAATCTCTGTTGGAAGACTATTAGTAATATTGTAATACAACTTTCCAGTCCCTAGAAAGGAAGCTCTGTGAGAGGAAGGCCCTTTTTCTTCTTAATCATTGTTGTAGCTCTTGCGGCTGTCATCAGTGCCTAGCATGCAGTGGAGCTCAATAAATATTTAATAAATGAATAAATAACAATAATAATGGCTGTTGTTTATTGTTCACTTTATGCCAACAACTTTGCAATATGCTTTGTATGAATTGTCTCATTTAATCCACCCAGTCATCCTATATGAGAGGGATGGGTCTTCCTATTTTCCACATAAGGAAATGTAGGTGTAGCCATAGGAAGCTATCTGAACCTCAGCAGATTCCAAGGAGTTGGAATTTTTGTTAAATATGATCTAGTCTTTCCTTATTTTATCTTTGGACTTCCTTCTCCTAAAAGCTGCAAATTAAACAACACTGAAAATCTGGTTCACGAAAACATAATTAACTTTCACTTGATGGAAACATAGAATTCACAAACTCAGAGCCGGACTCTCCAGTGACCCAGCGTGCCAGTCTCATCTTTCAACCTGCCCTTCCTTCTCTCCTCCTTGCACACACATGCATGTGCACACACATGCTCACATGCAGACAAATACATATCCATATGTTCTCACATGCATGCACATATATATACACACACATGCACACACATGTACCCTGTGTACACACATATGTATACATACCTCATACCCCTGTCCTCCAATTTTTCTCCAATCCCCCTCAGCAAGTCACCCCTTTACATCATTCAGAGTCATTGCATGCTCTGTCCCTTACACCAGAAATGCCCTCCACCTGATGCATTTCTGTTCAACATCTTAGATCCCTGTTTAATATTTGCTTCTCAGTGAAACTATCTCTGTTTTCCTACTGGAACTTCACCATCACCTTCTTTCCACCTGTTCTTAAAACGCTCACAGTAGCTTTATTGGGTAATGGTGAGGAGTGCTATGTTTACCTGTCTGTCTCAGAGCTACGTGAGATCAGGACAAGACTGTATTCACCTGGTATAGGGCTTAACAAAGAGAAGATGCTTGCTAAACTCTTACTGATTTGATTGCTCTGGGATTGCATCTTCTAGGGTGTCCTCAGCCGCTCTTCAAGGTGGGAGCCATGGCAGCTGCTCCTCTCACCCTGGCTATCCAGAGGCTCAACCCATGCCTGATGGAGCTGTGTCACTTCTTTCAGCAATGCCTCTGCATGAGCCAGAGAAGTCCCAGGACAGAGGACATGAGGTAACCTGGCCCAGTGGCTTCTTTTCACATCCAATATTTATAGTTTTCTTATTCTATGTGGCTTTTCTGCAGGCCACAAGGCAGTGAGTCAGGCAATAAGCAATTCACAGACAGGTGGCAGGGGGTCCCTCAAGGAAAGCAACTCTCCAGTGAGTCCTCTACTAGACAGTCACATCCTTGAGATTCATTATGGAGTCTCATTCATTGCTGGTCCCCACAACCAAGTGCAGTGCCAGGCACAATAAGTATAATTGGGTTTAGTTGAATTGAAGTTAAGTTTAGTTGAATTGGAGTTGTGATGAGTTTACCTGTGTTGAGTTGAGGTGAGTTTAGTTAAGTTGAATTGTGTTGAGTTTAGATTAATTGAGCTACGCTGAGTTGTGTTGAGTTGACTTGTGTCATGTCAAGTGGAATTATGGCAGAGGATCTTGAGTGGTTCTTTAACCCAAATGCCCTCAGCCTGGTGAGATTTGCTAGGAGACAATAAATAGAAGATATGTCTATCTAAATTCCAATTATTTCATAAATTCCTACCAATCATCCACCAGCAAAATAAGTTGAAAAACTTAAATTAGAAAGCAGACCTTGTTTCATATTAATAAGGTCTAGCCATGAACATTTTCTGTCTTACAATGCTGACATACTGTTCTTTCTTCTGAGATTTATTCTTGTCTGTAAACCCAGAACTAAATAACATAGGTGAATACTCCTGCTCCAGTGGTCTGCGTACCAATGTCTCGTGTCTTTAATGTTATTTTCAAAGACTACTCTCAGGATCCACCAGCTTTTAAAATTTCTGCCTCTGAGTCTCAAGCCCAGGTGGGCAGCCACTTCCCAGCACCTCTTTCTAGCTGTAATCTTTGATACCCTGTCAGTAAGGACATTTCCTCATTCACAGAGAACATTAAGCAAGGCCTATAGACCCACAGTCCAGGCTTATTCTAAAGAAAATTTTCACAACAATACTTTCTGTATTCTCTAAAATAAGCCCACTTTAGGAGATCCTTTACTCACTAACTGAACTAACAACATGTATTCAGTCTCTGCTATATATCTGTGATGTTCTGTGCTAAGCCACGGGGATCTAGAGATAAATCAGAAATAGTCTCAGAAACTGAGGCTTTCATAGTTGGAAGGAAGAAATGGTCATAAACACAAATTAGAATATGATGTTATAGGTAATAGAACCAAGGCATGCACTCAGGCAAAAACCTGTTAATCATATCCCCTTGGAAAATATCATATTTGAAAACGTTCATATTGTACATCATGGCTGAGTGAATACATGAAAAAGGCATACATTTTCAGAGAGAACTTTGAGTTTAAATTTAGAGCAATGAAGCACCCGTTTGCCTGGGTTTGTCCCTTCTTTTCTGTGTATTTTCACTGAATAGTAAATTTTTCCATAAAGTCATGCACTGAATATAGGCCAAGGATATTAGAGTTGGGGAGGTGGCACTATTCAGTATGTTTGTTGAACATAGCCTTTGCAATTAAAAAAAGAACACGAGTGGGAAAGTTGGCAATGCAAAAAGACAAATTTCAAAGCAGTTGACAAGTGCTCTAGCAGACCTGAGTAACATGCTATGGGATCCCAGGAGAAATAACTAACAGGGTTGTAGGGAGGAATAGGAGTTTTCCAGGCAAAAGAAATAGCATCTGCAAAGATGGAGTGACAGGCAGCCTGGGACATCTGAGGGCCACTGAGATGTTCAATGTGGCTGCAGCAAAGATGGGAGACCAAGTCTCTGGCCTGTCCCTATTCAGGACTACTTTGCCTTTTAAGTACCTGGATCACCTATTATATGCTCTCTTTGACTTTCACTGTAGTGCTCCATCCGTCCCTCTTCCAAACTTTCTACTCCCTCCTTGTTCAGAATAAATACAACATACAGAATTCTTGAAATCCAGCCCTCTAAATCCTGTCCATTTTTAAACTGAGATACCCTCAACTCCCATTCTCTTCACATCATCTCCCTCTCAGGGTCATCTCTTGAAACCTTTCCTTCTTAGGACCCCCAGCACCATTCTTGGGGCACACCCCTTGAAGGATGGCAAAGCCCCGGTGACTTATAAACTTTGCTGCCTCAGGCCCCAGTCTAGTGTCAATGGCTTCTCCATTCAAGCTGCTACTGACTCCACAGTGCATGTAGCAGCTCTGGTCTGGTGCAAGGGGCTGGTGTAATCATGGATGCGTCAACACTAGTTTTAGCTCACCCTAGCCATGGTATTGCAGCTGACGTCTGCCCTGAAGAACTGAAGATAAACAAAATAGGCCACCTTAACAACTGATGTTCTTCTGAGACCATCTAGCCTGTTCTGCAAGGAGATGCCTCCTCCAGTCCATGTGAGGAATACCTTTTCTTGTTATGCACAGGACTTTGACTCCATTCCCTGCAGAATAATAACCATGATCATTTATCTATTGTTCATTCACCTCACAATACTTGTAGAGGATGCCTCTGCCAGAGAGCTTGGGGAAAGCATATGTCATGTTTAAATAGTTTCTCTCCTAATCAATCATAGAGGCAAGAAATTCCCATTCATCCTGAAAGCCATGTACTCTGTCAAAGGGAATTCGGGCACAGAATGGCAGCTTTTTGGCTTGTGAAGGTATGGGTCATGTTTCTGCGGTTGCTGAAACTTAAATCCTGGCCTCACATTTTGCAGTTTTACGGAGCACCTTAGTTGGGATGATGTTGTCCTAAAGCAGATCATGCTCCAAGGTTGCTGGATATCCTCTATCACAAAAGCTTTCTAAGAAGCTTTGTTGCTGTTACTAGAAAGCATGACTTGAAGATTGTTACACTGGCTAAGAAGGAATCGGATTAGACCATAGAACCAAGACCCCCTAAAGCTAGTAAGTAGCTTAGTTTGCTATAGAGAGGGCAGGGCTTGAAGCCAGGCAGGCCCGGGTTTAAATTTAGTCTCTGCCACTTTTACTAGCTATGTGGTCTTGGGCTAGCCATTTAATCTCTGAACCTCAGTTTGTTCATCTACAAAATGGGTACAATCCTGCCTACAGTCTAGGCCACATGTTGCACAACTCCAGGAGCACCATTCATATAAGAGGGTAACAGCATTCTTACTTACACTGACAGTGTTGTGAGAACAAAATGAAATGAAATGAAATGATATATCTAATTGTTCCTGCATGGTACCTGGAACGCCGCACTCTGTGGTTGCTGATGAAGACACTGTTGTGATTGCTGTCTTGTCCACTCTGGCAGCCAAGTGTGAATCCCATCGCTGGCTCACTGTGTGTGCTAACCACGTACCTAGTGTCCATGTCCGCTGTTGAGGTGGCCAACCTTGACGTCCTGTCTCTGGAACTTGTGAAAGGTCTCCTTGATAGTACAGGTTTGCAGGCTCACAGAAAGCATCCTGGGTGTGTTTGCCGCTTGCTTTTTCACTCTTGTGTCCATTTCCTTCCCCTTCTCTACTTGGCTCTTTAATGAAAGGGGCTGAATTGTACAAACTAACTTTCCCAGAACCTTGTCAACCAGATTCCTGTGAGTTCATCCCATAGAAGATACTGAGAGGAGATTGGAGGGCAGTAGAGGGGAGAAGTTAGGGAATTTCTCCCCCTCTCTTTCTGCTGTCTGTAATATTTCCAGGAGTGGCTCTGTCTCCTCTGTGGTTCCAGCTTCCGCAAGGAATCCTCATGACAGCCTCAGCTCTGTGGTCCCTGCTGCTACTAGAGGCCATTGCCTTCTATGCTCTGGCCACAGTACTTCTTAGTCTGTCCCTTCAGGCCCAGCAAGTCCCTGTAGCTGCTAATACGGAGTTTCCTCACCTTCCCCTGTTGGCTCTTTCAGCCCTTTATGACTGATTCACAGTATTAAAGTCCCTCTGTAGAATCACCAGGTTCTGTTTTCCCAGCAGGGTCCTGACTCAGATATTGACCTTATTGCCTACCAGAATGGCATAAAGTGGGTTACCTGGGTTAAAATCCAGCACTACCTCCAGAAAGCAATGTATCCTTGGGCGAGTTATTTAATCTCTGTGCCTCAGTTTCCTCGGCTTTGCACTTTCCTATAAATTGGGGGTGATAGCCCTTGGAAAATCTCTACCACAAGCTTGACTTGAGCAATTAGTTGCAAAACTCTCTAGGGTATGCTAGAATCACAGAATGATAGAGGTGGAAAAGAAATTAGAGAATGTTTAGCCCTTCCTCCTCATATATCAGATGAGGGATTGAAAAATAAGTGAATTCCCAGAGCCATACAATGAGCTAGTGACACAGCCTGCGCTAAAAACTCTTTTTCCTATTAATTGGATGAGTGATCTTTTCACCACGGCCCTTTGATGCAGCTCCTGCTGCCCCTGACCAAGAACAGAATGTTACTTTGCAAAGTGTTTGCTGCATTGACAATGACAGCAGCACTCCACTTTCTCTCTCTTCATCTCCCACTAAAATAAATTAGTAAACAAACAAATTTCACCATTTGTTGAGCACATCTTGTGTGCTGGGTGCTGTTCAGAAACTTTACGTATGTTATCTCATCCCCATGTAAGATATCCTTACATCTCGTTATCTGTCTATTACATGTTATCTACTCGTTATCCTCAACAACCTGCGAATATAGGTTCTATTATTGCCTTTCATTTATACTTGAGAAAACTCAGGTCCAGAGAATTCAGTTATCAGCTTGAAGTCATGCATCCTAGCACGTAGTGGGGCAAGGGCCAAAAATAAGTCTTGCTGGCCCCAAAGTCTGAACTTCTTCCTACCTAGCCTTCTTTCCTGTCTCTCCTCTGACACCCTTTAAAGATGGACAGAGGGTTCCTCGCTGTGAATAATTGGCCATATAGTTCATGTTTTTGTGTTTACTTTTAAAAGCCTGGCTGTCTTCTAATAGCCGTCACAGGATAGTTATTTCTCCCCACTGTGATTTAAATCTTTAGATACTGTCTTGAATACTATTCCTGGTTTCTGAAGAATGCAACATACATCTGTCAGAGGGTGAAAAGGGTGTCCCACTCACACAGTAAGTACACAGCTTGACCATGTTGTAACTCTGCAGCAAACGCATTATACCAAAGGGTTGTGTAACTCTGAGTGATTTCCAGAGGTCCTGGGAATGCTGTAGCTCATCTAGTACTCATTAATTTGGGACAAAGACCATCGAGGATTTTTCTTATTTTCTTTAAGGCTCACACTTGATGTTTGCAATTAGGTCTAGGGAAAAACACAGCAGGAGTCAGCCTGACCAAGCGTTGTTGCTCTCTGTGTGAACTCAGAAAAATCTCTTAGCCACAGAACTCCCATGTCAGCTAAAAAGACAAATAAAAATAAAATAAAGTAATACACACATACCAATGCTGAAATTCTTGACCAAAGGAAAAATGTATACAAATAATTCACACAAAAGAAAGCAGCATGAAGCACTAGAATTTATGTCTCGATATGGTACCTCTCTCCTCGTCCTGGTAGCTTCAAAGCTTCATTTACTCCCAGGTATTCCAGGTCTCAGCTTTGTTTTATTTCTCTCACCTCTACAAACAAAGTCCCAAAACTAACAGTCTGGCCATCTCATCATGCCATCTACCTGAACTACCTCAAGGGATTCTGGTTTTCTAAATATCATGGCACTACATTAAATTGTGTAGAAAATCCCTTCTTACTATAACCCAAATATAAGCTGTGTGCCCACAGGGCTCAGTCTTGGCAATGTTTTACGTTTGAACAAACAAAATGGTACAACAACCCAATCTTTCCATATGGGTTCTGAAGAACACCAGCTGGGATCCTGGGGATCCATGTCACACTTCTTAGAAACTCTTCTTATTCTTTCTGCCCTCCATTATTTCTCACTTCTCACAAGCCACCATCTTAAAGGCTCTCTTTATATTTCGTTTTTCAACTTATCACTCAGTAGCTCTCCTAAAATCAGACTCTCTGGCTCTTCTCTGTGTTTCCATTTACCTCTTCTGCTTAATTTGCATTCCTTCTGTCTCTTTTATTTTATTCTTTCCCAAACACAAGGTCCTTATTTCTTATGCAAGTCCACCATCCCACGTTTCCTGTATTCGCTTTCTACCATCACCTTTGTCCTGCATTAAACAACAAAAAAAGATAGGCATTAGCAGTAGGAGTGGGGAGGGGGTCAGAAATTAGAGATAGAAATCCCTTTATCTGGTGCGGACAGAGGAAATAGGAAACCTTGAAAACACGTAATTCAATAGTTCTTTTGTCCTTGCTGCATTAAAATCTCTATGCACACAACGTATTACATTTACTGAGCAGCTTATTAATGAGTTTAAATTAGCCTCATGCAAACTGTGGAGTTGCGTTAGATACAGCTGGGTATTGGAAAAGAGCAGTGGGCAAAGAGTGGAGAGATAGGAGCTGCTCCTCACTAGACTTTGCTGCTAACAGCAATGGAGTCTTGCATGAGTCCTTTCCACCATCTGAGGTCACTGTAGTGACCCCTGTCCAGTGCACTGCCCCACACTTGCTTTCTGGAAGAGCCTAGACCCTTGCTGGTGCCCTCAGGCTTTCATTTGTGTCTCTGTAGTGTTTATGTCTCAGTACCTTGAGTTCCTTCTTTTTTTTTTTTTTTTCCAGCCTTAAAGCAAAAATGCCTTGAGAATATCTGCAAGTCTGTGTGAGACCTCGAAAATAACACTAGGGCAAAACAATGACTTCAGGAGCTATGCCGTCATCCTGGCTCTTCTCCCAGCTGGGCTACACTTGAAGAATTCACCCAGGCTCCAGATAGATCATCAATTAATTGAAAGTGATTATTCTTGGAAGTAGCATTTTCTTTCCCTCTCCCGTGAATCTGCGTAAAACATTGAAGGTAGAAGGTTTCCTTTTAGAGGCCTCGCAATTAATACAGTAATGCCGAACTCCCTGCCAGCTTCAAAGTCATGGAAATGTAGTGTTCATGCTCAAGAAACTCCTGCAATGCTTGAGGCAATCCTGTCAATTTAAAACTGCAGATGCATGGGCACCCTAGCCTGCACAAACCAGTTCAGCCACAGAGACTCTGGCACAAGACCTGAGGTGACTTAAACTTGAGACTCTTGAAGACAACAAAAGCATTTAAGATGGAATTCATACTTTAGAGAGATTCACATATACTGTTTCTATACAGTTAAGTAAAACATGTACAACCAATCAGATTTGCCATACTATGGGATCTATATAATCTTCCAAGTCCCCGTAAGTAGGCAATAATGAAAACTTTATCATTAGGAGGAGGTTTAGAGAATTGTTTTCATTGACATCTTGTCTTGATTCTGTGTGTCCCACTGGGTTCAGAAGTCCCCATGAGTACCCTCAGGGTCAATGAGTCACCAGTAGAATTCAGAGGGCAGGAAAATTATTATATGCGCATTTAGCATTTATTACAGCAAAAGGCTGCAGATGAAGATAAGCAAAGGTAAAAGGCACCTCTAGAGAGAGACTAAGAGAGCCCAGGCACAAGCTTCCAGTGGGCTTGCACAGCCAGCATCGAATCCTCCCAGCAACAATGCTTACTAACATGTATAGTATTGTCAGCCAGGAAAGCTCATCCAAGCCTCAGTGTCCAGGGGATCTTTTGGGGTGTGAAGTAGGTATGCAGCCTTCATGGTCTGCGTGGCTGAACTTAGTGATTCAGTCTCCAGTCCCTCTAGAGATCAAGCTGATACTGCATGACCTAAGGCCCCACCATTAGTCACATTGTTAACAAAAACTACCTGTCATGGCACAAAGGCCCCAGTACACAGAGACACTCACCATGCAGGATATTCCAAGGGTTTAGCAGAGATTCCCCAGGAGTAGGTCAAGGGCCAGACATTTCTTTGGAAGGTGCGAGGTTTGAGCTCCCTGTGGAGCCAACCTTCTACTGCATCCCCACATACTGAGGTGCCCCCTTCATGGTACCTTTTTCGCAATGTCCAGGTTTGTGGTTGCTCCAGTATCTCTGTAAATGTCGGTCTCCGTGTAGAGCATGTGTGCTGTCTCCAGCAGCCCTGCACAGACCCCTTATTCCTCATCACCAAGGATGGCCTTCCCCCTGATGTGCCTGGTGCTCCTTCTCCTCTCTCTTGCCTTAGAGCTCTGCCAGGCAGAGAGAGGTTTTTTCACCCTTTTGTGATCTATGGCTGCCCTTGGGTGAGGAAAGTCACTTTTGGTTCATGATTGAAGTGTCAAGCAGTTTCCCCCATTGGAAGACCCCTGAGTGCCTGGCACTGCCTGTGAACTACAGGTGCCTGGGGAGGTAGAACCTGGACATCGGAGAGAGGAGCTGCCAGACATTCCTCTTTCTAGTCTTATGCAGAAAGATTTCTTTTTACTTTCCACAACACTTTAAAGACTTTCCAGGTTATGCAAATGTCAAGCTCATAAATGTATGTCGTCATGCCTTTTGCAGAGATGAAAAGGATACAGCAAATTTTCTGGGAGGCAAAGGGACTTCTACCTGGATAGGAACCAAGCCAACTCATTAAGTGTGGGTTAATTTGATTCAGTCCTTGCACAGATATTAATTAAGGGCCTTTGGCAGGGAAGGATCCCCAAGGTTCCCCAAAGAGTAACTTATCATCAAGGAAGGTGAAGAATGGATGGATGGCTTGGGCCTAAGACCAGGGCTTTTCACCTGTGGGGAAACCCATGTGGACCCAGTTACCCCATACTTCGGAAATAATGACTGAGATGACTATAACCTTTAAGAAGCTCAAATGTGGAATATCTCTGAGGCGTAGGCAGGGATCTGACCAAGCGTCAAGGACAAAGGCTCAGAGGACTCCCTGGGGCCAGTTTTCTACAATCTCACCATCAGCCAAAACAGCAGCAATGGCAGGAGGAAAACAGGACCCAGGAGTGGCTGATGACTGCATGGAGTCCAGCTGGTCTCCTGGAGTTCATGGGGGGTTGACCCTTTCTGAGCCGAATGTGTCCTGATTTAGGGGATAGCTAGGACAATGAGGAAGCCTCTCGCAGTGCTGCTGATCTGGAAGTACTACTAATTTGTGCGTATGTGGCCACCAGTGGTTAACAGATTAGGTAAAAGAAATGGGACAGTTACTGTATCTGCACTGATGAAGGAGATTGCGGTTACATGCATAAAGTTATTAAACGGCATTCTTCCAGGCAGTAAAGGTGCAGGTGCATTTCTGTATATTTCGTTTATGTCCAGAAGACCAGCTAAGCTGCCAGGAGAAAGAAAGAGAGGGACAGAGAGAAGAAGGGAGGGAGAGGAATAAGATGAGGGAGAGGGAAAGGAAGGAGGGGAAGGGGAGGAGGAGAGGGAACGAGGGAGGAGGAGAAAGAGGGAGGAGAAGGACTGCGTTTGTTTCTTGGCCCCAGTGCACGGTTCTGCGTGCTTCTGTGTGTGTGGTTCCCTATTTCTGCACAGGTGCGCTTGTGCTGTGAGTTTGTGTGAAGGAGACATTTAGGTGCCATCATAATGAAATCTACAATTTTAAACTCTCATTTAGAACAGACTTTTTCCGCTTATGTCTGGGTTCTTGTGAAAGCTTCACTCTCACATTGCTCCACCGACAGAATGGTAAAAGGCCAAGGTTCCAGGGATGTTGAAGGCCTGTGGTTTTCAATCAGAGGTGATTTGGCCCCGGGGGGACACTTGGCAATGTCTGCAGACATTTTTGGTTTTCACAAGGGAGGGAGTACTACTGGCATCTGTTGAGTAGAGACCTGGGATGTTGCAATGCTTGGAACAACTACTACAAAGAAAAGAATAATTTGGACCAAATGCCAACAGTACTAAGATTAAGTTACTCCATTGTAAGTTATGGGGAGAAAATGATCCTTCTCAAAACCCCATGATATGTCTCAAACAAGATACCTATGCAGATTGTTATGCCTTAGCGTTGCTCAGGCATAATAACAATCTCAGCTATGCTCTTGAGATGCTGAAAAGGTGGATTTTGATACACTGAGCCACAGATGCCCCTGTGCTTAGTCAATTTAGAGATGGTGAGTCTTCTGTGCTAATGAGAAAGGATTACAGACCATGCATCTTCATTCCTGAAATCACATGAGATGCTGAACAATAGTTAATGAGCTACAAACACAGGACTCAGTGCACGAGAGTAACTATTATTTGAAGAAGCTTTTCAATGAGTTCTTCCATAGAGGCTCAAGTGTGCCTTGATTTAATCGTCTGAGGAGTCCTGCTTCTGCAGGAGGCGGCCATAGAGTGAGCAACTCAGAGGGTTCACAGTCAGGCTAACCTGCATCCCAGAAAGCTGCCATCACACGTGAGCATCTACAAATGCCTCAACCTCAACGATACCTTTTTTTTTTCTCGTCTGTCAAATAGAGCTAATTCATTGTTGCTCCTAGGATTATGAAAGCAGCAATGGTAGAGCTGCTGCAGGGATGATGAGGGCAAAATTCTATAAAATATTTGTGGTACATTACACACACTCAATAAATGCCAGTTCTTCTTGTTAAAATCAGGAAAGAAAATAGTTCACAAGGGGACATGAAGAAGCGACAAAAAGAACTGGGACTTAATGAGCCCCCATACCACACACTGTACATGGCTTTCCTCATCCTCACAATCCTAGTAGAATTAAGCCCATTTAACAGATGTGGAAGCTAAGGCTGAGCAGTGCCTAGCTCAAGGCCCCAGTGGTACTTCATAACTGGGCTGGCAGGGGAATGGAAGTGGAACCTAGGGTGTCTGATTATGAAGCTCCACCTCACCCTACCCCACAGCTTGGGCAGAAAAGCCCTAAAAGAAAGAGGCATCAAATTCCCAGGTCTGAGGCCAAGAACATATAAGAAGAATCACCCTAGAGATCCTCTTGCAAAAGAATTAACTAGACCAGACAAAGCCAGCCCTTTATCCTGCAGGAGAGCCCACGTGATGTTCATCAGTCTTTCATCCCCCGAGAGTTCCCATGATGACCCTGAGACAAAATCCATGGGCCTCTTATCCTTTGAGGTGAGGTGGGGTAGAACAGGGGACGCATTGTTCTTTAATTAGAGCCTGGGTCTCCTCTGAGGCTCAAGATGGGGCCTCTTAATATGGAGCCTTCACCTGTTCCAAGCTATAGTATTATGATGCTTGGAACAGGCAGCCCACCTGCCAGCATTCATGAAAGGCTGCCTTTTTGATGTGAGGAGTAGGGAGACGCATCACATGGCTAAGGGTCTTTCCTTGGGGTATAAAGGACTCAGTCTGCACCTGTTCACAGCCTAGCACCGTTCATCCAGTGCACTCCGGTGGATCCCTCACGGTAGGCACTTGTTCTTCCTCATGGTTGGGGAGACAGAGAGCAGGGGAGGGAGGGAGGGAGATAGAAAGAGAGCAAGAGAGGGAAGGAAATGAGTGGGAGAAGAGAAGGAGGGAGGGAGAAAAGGAAGGAGAGGGAGAGGGAGGTATTGAGGAAATGAGAGGGAAATGAGTGGGAGAAGGAAGGTAGGGAAGAAAAGAGGGAGAGATAGATGAAGGAAGAAAAGAAGGGAGAAGAGAGGGAAGGTGGGAGGGAGGGAGAGAGGGAAAGGGAGAGGAAGAGAGAGAAGAATGGAGGGGAAATGAAGAGATAAATGAATGGAGGATAAGGTGGGAGGCGATGGATGCTCTTAGGGTTGTCTGAGACCTGGATGTTGCTCCAGGATATAGCTAGAAACACAGATCACTCAGCCTGTC